GCATTCCAATAAATAACGAAACAAAGGAGAACCTCCCCATTCTGACGTCTCAGCCGCCATATTTACATCCGATAACGAGCCGCCAGAAGATATTTACATTTTTAATAGCATAAACCCACAGAGACCCGTCTAGCGTAGAAATCCTCCGGTATCCTTAAGACCCCTATTTTCCCACCCCCATAAGGCCCGCCCGGCCCAGTTCCCATTTATTAACCCTAATTGATCGTGCCTTGGGTCCCGTTTACATTTTTGTCCGACAAAATTTCATTGCCACTCAAAAAGGGTAAAAGAAAAGATGTAATAATTGCCTGATTATTTATCGCCACGTTAAAGCATATGGCGCAGATTACCGGTTAGGGCTGGTGAGCGATCCCCCGTTTGCCATGTATACTAATGTTTATCCCTGTACAATATTAGAAAAAAGCACATCCGTACCTTCATCGCCATTTTAAACGGCTCGTTAGTCCGGACAGCGAATCTATTAATCTTAGGACGGTTCCGCACGGTAATAAACCCGATTAAATTTCGTGTGCTCGTAAACAATTATGTTTTTAACAGTGGGAAGTATCCGCCGGGACGAGGTTAATTGGGCTGCGAATAAAAGTCAAAATTTTTATTTCTTTTTAAATTAACCCTATATGGATCCCGATGAAAATTTTGTAAAAAATTTGTTTGATTTTTTTTTTTCAAAAAATTCTTTATTCTTCACTAACGCTTCAATTATTCATATGAAGTTTCATGCACTGTATCGACCGTCCAAAGTTCTTAAGTTAATTGGATGAAGTGTTTGGGTTCGCAATTAGCGATTAGCAATTACTTCCTCGATCCAAATGGAAGCTTCGGCCCGACGGAGCGATTAATGAGCCAATTGGCTAATATGGCGTCACGCAAGAATACATGTAGACTGTTAGACAGGGTGCGGATCGATGACCGTTTTCTCTGTAACACCTTGTATATGCATTCGGGGTACCAATATACGCATTAAATTATTATAATGACCTAACCTAACCTAACCATACCACAATCAGATATACCGATCCGAAACTAAAGACTTACGAGGGGCTAAGTTTTTCTTGGAAGTAGAACAGCGCCGCGACGCTTGTGGCGTTTGAAAATAAAACACTAATTGGTTGCGAGGGAGGGGGAGGGGGGGATGAGAGATCCTGGTTAACAGGCCTAAGGCCGCGTAATTTCAACTAATTTATTTGATTGTACCGGTGGTATGCAAGTCGTAATAAGAATCCGCCTGTATACATCCGATTACATTCGTTCACCTTGTATAAAAGTAAATTTTATTAAAGTTTTAACATTTTTTAAAACAAAAATCACACGAGGTTTGATAAAACTGATTTTTTTGTCGATGTAACTGTACGTTTAACGTCTCGACCTGTTATAATTGCCGAAATGTTGTAATAATTCTTAACGAGTATCCGAGTACCGGCAGACTTAAGTAGCCGCACTTAGGGCGGTTTACATTGTAAAGATTTTTAATAACAATGTCGTTTATAGTTTGAGGATCAGTGCGGGTCAGTTAGTTAGCAGAGATCGACGATGCTTGAAGGGATGTAGGCTGGAGACGGGGTGGGCCAATAAAACACAATTAGCGAGCTCACGGAGTCAGCCAATCAGGGACGAGGATTTCTGCGACGTTGAAACGCGTAACACGTTATTTATGGTACACCCCTCTTATAGCGTATTCGAGAGAATATTTTTTTTGTAATCAGCATTTACGAGTCTTTCATAGTAAAGATACAGGTTACGCTTTGTGCGTAGCAGTTTTTTTTTTCAACAAAAACTAAAAGAAATTCAAAGTGAATTAAAATTGACTTCCTCCCTTGTAATCGTCTGCTGGTGTATTATCAATTTTCTACCATTATTCCGTTCTTTCTTAAACGATTTATCATGAATATTATCTGCCAAGAGTTGGGCCTGCTAGTTCGCACGGCTCTCCATTCAATTGATAAATTCCATTTCCTTGTGAAACAATCGACAGACCCGCCGCCATTATTGTACACTAGGCGTTTAATATTCACAGAAAGGTTACCATCGCGGCCCATCCATCATGCTGGAATTAATGTCACGTCAACAACGCGATATTGCTCGAGTTTTGTTAGGTTAGGTGTAAACTTATTTCAAGCAAAATAACCAATCGGTTTTAATAGAATATATACGAGATTCAATGGGTGGCGCTTTAAGGTGAGAGAAATAGGAACTAAGGAAAAAGTTTCAACTAGTACCTCTATGGTAAATGACTGATATCAACGCTCCTCAGTGGCGGCCAAACGAACTTGATTATATTAAAGGACGTTTCTTATTGGCTGAAATTACTCGGCGTCTATTAGGAACTCTTTGTTAAATTTTTCCACGGTAATCATATGGTGCTAATAACATGACGGAATGGGGTCCTCTTATCGTGCTGTTCGAGTTCTATTATATCGCTTCGTGTAAATGTTCATTCGTTATTCATTCCTTTGGGAATGGGAAGCAACTCTTCTTATCAGCTTAACCTAAGATAGTCTACACAACAGGTACTTGGAATTGTTAATAGAGTTTCATTGCGTTAACAATTATGTTAAGCGTTTTAGGTTAATTCATACGAATTTCAATTACATAACGGGTTGTATTTACAATTTCTCTTTTCACTTCTATTAATTGAATTAGTATACTCACATCAATCGGGTGTACTGTATTGCTTTGTTAGTACACAAATGTCATTTTTAGTAGTATACAGTGGCGATTAAATGAAAATTGAAATTTTCACTCACCGTGAAGACGCTCGTCGTCGTTCACTGGCAAATCGACGTCCTCGACGTCGACCAGACTACGTATGCTGAAAACGCTCTTAGCCACCCGTGTCTTTTGCAATTCAGAGATGCCGACGCCGTCCGGTGGGCGTCGTGGTGTCGTACTAAGGTCCATACCGACTTTTCGCACAATTTTGTCCCCCTCAGTCTCTCCTTTATCACAACCTAATCAACGCCTTGATATCCTTTTCGTTGATATCAATTTTTTTTTTAATAATTATATTTAAAAAAACGTCTCTGTCAACGACTGTCAGTCAGTGAATTTTCTTTCACACATTTTGTAAGTAATCTGCCAACCTTGTAGAAGCTTGCGTTAACAGTTCCCAACTGCTAGTGACAATTGCCGGTCTACCTTTCCTTGGTTTCTTGATAACCGAATTACTTTGCATATCTATACTGTTACGAATGACAAATGATTCCAGTCTATACACTCGAATATGCTGGCCAATGAGAAAAAGTTAACTAGGAGTCAGTCCAGTTTGACATATTCACTCGGTTACCTTAGTATGTCTTCGATTTGACGTTTGTGTTATAAAATTAAATCATTTGTTATATATAAAATTATAAAATTTTCTAAACAATTACTATAGTGTTTAATCGATTGTTAATTAACGGAACACAAATTTAACGGACCCGGACGCGCGCGTTCTTCCTAAGCCTGGTTTAGGAACTGGTCGCAAATCTAAACACGCACCTTAAGCTTCCACATGGTAGTAATTGATTACAATTAAGGAGAAAAAAATAGAGAGGCTTTCTAGTATCAGTTGAATGACACAGAATTTACTATGGGATTGTTTACGTACAAGACTTCATATACCTCAGCTATTGGATTTGTAATGATAATTTGTATGAACCTTTTTGTTTTGTAATTTTACAAAATCTACCACGTGGTTTAATTATCACTTTACTCCACAATGTTTATTAGTCGCGTTCATACGTATTGGGTTTGGCACGTACTGTACGGCACTTATTTATTTTACATACGGATATCGACCTGGTTCCATCCAAAGTGTTTTTTCGTTTCTTTTCTAAGTTACATTTTTTTTTTAATTTTTCAGTGTATGATTACTTATACAGTTCTTTTCACCAGGCTGGCGGATCGACGGGAACGCGCTAAAGTTCTGTCACGGGTTGTTGTACGAGCACACGCGTATCGCGGACTCCTGCTCGGCAATGTGCTCCTCGGTGTTCCCTCCACCGCAATGTTCGGCGTTCGCCGCCTGACAGAAAGAGGGAAGAGGCAAAAGGGAAGGTGCCTCTCATCGGTGAAACGCCCACCAGTTACAAAATGGAGTCGGCAGAAACGCCTTCCCAAGTAATGAAATTCCACATACGAGCTCGAGGCTCGACGTGCAGGGGTAGTTTCTTAAACAGGGGTGAATCTACTCGTTTAAGTTAATAAGGCATATTTTGCGATATGACAGAAGAATATTTTCACTTTTAAGATGAAACGGAAGATACTTGTCCAATTGGAAAACTAGCGAATCTGATTAATTCTGTTTACTTTCTGTCTTTTCTTTTTTTTTTTTCCATAAAAAATAAACTCTTGTCAATAATTTGAAACTGCATAAACTGAATTTTTAAATGCGGTTATGAATCAGGGATTTACCTTCATGGGTATATATGTATACATATACATAGGACACGGTTGATGATAATTAAGTATTTTTTTATTTATTTTATACATGGTATTCATTCGCTTTTAAATACAATATGTAATGTGCATTATAAATTGCAGAAGGAGACAGCCGTTACGGCAGGGAATCGATGGGTTCCTCGACGAAAATACTGTTAAACGTAGAGACGAAGTGAAACATTCGTTGTGAATCGAAACGCAGTGATGCATATATATAATTCATTGATAAACAGTTTAATATTAATTCAATTAAAATAAAGACAAGTATTCGATTCCCGGTTTAAAACGACAGTCAGGACCGCTCGCCTACGGTCGCGATAAGATTTCTTTAAGAAGAAGAAAAAGACGAAAAATACTTAAAAAGAATACATGAACACCGTCGCACCCCCGCCTCATAGGAAAAGGAACACGCCCATAAATGAATCACTGCCAAATATAATCAGCCAATAATACGGTACATATACAATAATATGCCGTTCTTACGTAATCGTAAAATCTATCGGATTGAATTATTATGTAAGAACCGCACAACCTGTAATGCAAGTCCAAAACAATTTTGCCCTTGTTTAAACTCGACGCCAATGAAGAAGAAAAAAGAAAAAATACAGGAACTCCATGAGTCTTCAGGCTCGATGTAATCGGGGGGTTCCCCAGGATGCGATAATATAAAGTTATATCTTTGGCACAATAAATACAATATCAAGCCATAATCGTTAGAAAATTGGGATCGTGTATGTCCTGAACCACTTTATCGTGATCAATTCGCGACGTCAAACATCACCATCTGAATCACAACAATATTGAGATCGTTAAACCCGTGTTAATTTAAACTGCGAATCTTCGCGATTCCGCTATAACCGTCATATCGTGCGCGATCGGTAAGTGTCGATAAATCTGTACCACGTTATTCTCCCTGTCTTCGGATGAACTTCCGAAGTCTCTAGAACTGGACGAATCAACAGTACGAAGATTACTAACTGAACGTCTGGTCAGTGTGAAAAGTTCTATTTGTCCCTGATCTTCCTTACCGACCGTAGATAATAGAGACAAACAATCCTATCTACTTTATCGACTAATTCGTGGGCATGCACTCATATGGTCATCCCTCTTCAACCCCATCCCCACGTGGCATACGATCTCTATATAAATTATAATTGACCGTCGCCAGGATATAATTATCCATCGAAATACAATATTCTAGAAAGTTATATTCATCATGGCAGTCAATCGCTATCACTTCTCATTCTCCTAAATTATACGGAAAGATCAATTATCTTTTCCGGTTTATCAGCTATTCGTGTGTAAATACTATATATAATATATATAATATTAATTTTCGTCACGCTTGCAATACGTCTAATTGTTTATCATATTTTGTGTTTTCTCGAACAGTCGCTCGTATCGATTACCATAAAATTCACTATACTTAGGTCATGGCTCTTTACAGTCTAACGTTTACGCTTTTCCTACTCTTGAGTTTATTTTCTTTCCCTATTTTAATTTTTTGCAATTTGTTCATTTTGATTTTATAAAATCCATCGCTTTATCGCCGAGTGTCGTCAATATTGCGAATACAAAATTTACGGTTGACAAGGAATCGCCGATATTGCTCATTATATTTTCATCTAGTCTTGTCGCTGCGCCACTTCCAATGCTCCGTATTCACGATTTTCTTCTATTCGAAGTGGTCATCAACTTTTTTCACGACGTTTTCTCTCTTTTGTTTTTACCTAACTCTCTCCTCGGTCAGTAAACACTACCGACATTTGATGTCCACGAGAACGCAATATTCTTCTCTTTCTTATTCTCTTGAAATTTTCTTCCAGGAAGAACAACGCTTAGAAACGCATCGATTGAAATCCGTCGAAGATCCTCGACGAATTTAGATTGTTTGACGCTAAGCTGGCACGTAAGTGCTCATACCGGGTGACGTCGTCGGCGCCGGCGCACCCGCGTGAAGCGGCGACCTGGTCTGATGGAACCTTAGAAGTTCCGACACTGTCACGGCAACACGTACAACACCACGGCCACCCTCTAATACGTCACTTGCGCAGCATACTAAATTCTGCAACAGAAAATAAGGGAGGAGAAACATATTAGAAGAATCACATACATGTAAGATTCATGTTTTATTATATCTCAATGAAGATAGAGAGCCATACGCAATTGCAATGGAGGACGCGTATTGGAATGATTAGGCAAAAATAATAATGTAAAAAAAAAATACATAACAAAATTTTTCATAATCTGCGGAAAAAGCTGCTAAAATGTAAAGATCAATTTTTTCCATTGAAATTACTGTCCACGATATTTCTTTTTATACAATCTTTATTCCATCCTCCCTGAGGAGGTGCAGATGATTCATACTTTAGACCAATTATATGAAAAGAATAGTTTATTATAAATGACGGTAGTATTACAATCATTATTGTTTACCCATACAATCAACGTTACAGTGTGTCTCAGAAATAAAAAGAACGTAGTTCGACGGTATTCTTTTTTTTTTTTTATCAAATCAAACAGGACGACGAACCCGTCATGAAGATCATTTTTGTTCTTAAAGAATACTTTCTTTTACCGTTCGCGTTATATATACGTTTTTTTTTAATTTAACGATGCAAAAATACCACAGCGACTCATTCGGAGTTCTTCGTCCTTTTTCGACTCGCGATGCAGAAGATTTAAAATGAGAAACAAGAAAAAACGATCATTCTCTAAAACAAACAAAAAATCGGCAACGTAAATCATCGTAATGACGAAACGCGTGGCAGTGAGAGAAAAAGAAAACCAAAATTAAGAAAAATGCATTGACACCTTATATTCTGTTAGGACAGTATATATATATAGGGTGGCTTAACAAATGGATAAAATCACAACGTCCGTCCGAGACTCGACAGACTGAGACTGATAATAACGGACGAGCGTGATGTTCAATAAATAAATAATTAATAGCAATAATAATTTTAAAAAATAAGCAAACGCTTAAGCTAACCAACGAAAGAACCAAGCACCGATATTTATCCGAAAACTTAAACTTACTAGCGTAGTAGCCTTATACAGTAAGAATCAAAAATAAAAGAGAAAGATGAAAGTAGCATCAACGAGTCCTAATACGTATATACAATATACCATTTGACATATGTTTCGTGAGAAAAACGTAAAAATATTTTTTCTTGAAAAACAGACAATATTAAAAAAAAAAAAAAGAAAACCCTCCTAACAATGCTAATCCAACGGAATGTTTTTTTTTCGGCTCTTTTCATATGCCCAAAATATCCTCGTACACGTGCAATAATACCATACGACAAATTGTCATGTTCGCGTTGAAAAAAAAAAAGGACAAACCAATAAGGACAATTAGATTTCGTAAAAAACTAGACGCACGCGCTATGCTAATATAAAGCCAGTCTTCGTATTTTTTCCAGTGAACTTTAATACTCGGACAGTTGGAGTCCACGATGGACAAATTTGATAATAATACTGACTCGCGTAGAATCTATTAGTCAAGAGACATGCCTACCTATACTTGGCCTGTATTAAGGAAAAGCTTTTCTTATTTTCAAAAAGAGCGTACATAAAAATTCAGGGATGATCAGTCGATGACAGGTACGATTAACTTTATATAAATAATTGTACGAATAATCACAAGGGATGAATCTAAGGGTGAATTCAATTAAAAAAGTTATTATAATCGGTAATTGGGGCACGGCTGATTTTTTAAAAAATAATTACGGAGCCTACCCGTTATACTGTACTGTGGAAGATGTGCTAATCGCATCACGTAAAATACGATCTGACTAGAAGATAATTAACGTACGTAAGTGAAGACTAGAGAAATTATGAAGAGTAAAGCAAATAAAAAATAATAGAAAAAATGTGGACACGACGGCCGGCGGATAATAAATACCTATATATACATACATAGCGTCATCCTAAATTACGTTACAGCGTATAGGTTAGTTTTTGCGCGTATCTTAAATTTGCATTATAGGTATGTATGATCTAGTATACGTAGAAGACAGCATTACGTTTAAGATAATTCAAGTGCGTGCTAATTCATTGCCACTTTTTATATCATTTTTTAGGAATTTTGTTCGTTTATCCAATTTTTTGTTCTCGTGTGATTCAGGAAATTCGAAAACAGCCAATTACAATTGACTGTTTGATAGTTTTACGAGAACACCCTGTAAGCTCGTTTAAGGGGTACGAGAATATTAATTTTTTAAAAATCTTTTTGAAAAATTTTTCCTTGTGACTAATTTCCTCTTTCTGTACCAGAATCACGAAAAAAAAATGTTTATCAATCCCTTGTTCATATACTATATATGCATATGTATATATATAAGTTACACGTGTATATATAGACCGTAATATGCCTAGACTTTACGTAATTTTATGAAAATAAATTAGCAATAGCAGGCACCGTGTCTCTACTCTACGATCGATATCTTAGGCTGTGACCGGATAGCGCGGTCGGTGAAATTTTTTTTTTTTTTGAAAAATTCACTTATGATTAAAAGACCGCTAGAATTTTTCAATGGATTAAATGTGGTATCGTGTGTATCGAATTGAGCCGAGACAAGTGAGCCTATTCCTTTTTTTAAATTTCTGACCTGGTTCGATTAAAAGGTACAGGGAAGAAAAAAGATATTTTCAAAAATCTAACCCTACTATCATTAAAGTAATTATTCCCGAATTAAATGATTCCTAGCACCGTGATTACGTTAGCGCGTAATCTCACTCGGCAATGTCTTATCACAGACCTACCAATCCTGAAAGAGCCGTAGGCATTGATATTGGTCGAATTCTAAAAAAATACTAACGTCATTAAAAAGGCATACGGTTTCACTTATTATTTATATTTTTGTTTTCAGTTTTTTTTTTTTTTTTTTTTTTTTTTTTTTTTTTTTTTTTTTTTTTTTTTTTTTTTTTTTTTTTTTTTTTTTTTTTTTTTTTTCCTTTACTTCCCTCAATTAATACCGGATACGAGCAACTACGACACAATGATTTGTTTGTGTGAGGTTCTGATTATGTTGTACCCATGTGATGTAATTACATATTTTGATAACGAACGACACGATATCAGTATTGAAAAATAAAAAAAAATTCCATTTTTGTAATTAGCAAAATATAATCTTCCGATATCGCGAAATATTCAATATGAATTGATACTTGTTGCGAATACGATAGTCGATAGGATTTTGATCTCTTTTAAGGTACATATCACACAAAAGTGACAAAGTGATATATGAATGAATTGTCGCTTTGATTGCGCTTCTTTTTCTTATTTTTTTCCATTTTTTTTTTTCGAACTAAATTTTTTTCTTGGCGATCGACGTACTTCGCTCTATTCTTATAGTGACGTTCCACACGTGACAGCGTAAGGAAAAATTCGTGGAATGAAACGACAAGGATAAATTAAATATATAAATTAATTGTGGACAGGAATAACATCGCGTGTGGACTGCTGTATAATAATTAGTGACGAAGAAAAAGAAAAAGATAAATTTATGTATATCGAAAGAAAACCTACGATCATCTAGCATTGCGAGAGTCTACAGCTAGCCTTGAATTTTGCCTTGTTATCTTAATAATATAAATTACGCAAAGCCGTCCTTTTACGCCGAATCACTAAATTACGACAATACTTTTATCGTCTTGGCCTTCCCGCGCGTTTCACTTACTTTAAGCACCTTAAACGAACCTGTCGGTAACGTCGCGACTCTTAATTGCACCGAATACTAAACTAAAGATCTAATTACTAGAGAAGGCTCACGATTAGATCGTAGGATCAATTCTCGCTGTGATTAGAAAAATATCGAGAGATCCTCTCCCGTCTGATCCTAGTATACGATCCTCTTTCTCATTAAGAAAGAAGGAGAAAAACAAAGGCCCTAACAAACTCACAGTAAAACAAAACGCAACGTCAATTGATTGACCTGCCATTTCCTTCACTGGGAAATACTAATACGGTATATGTAAAAAAAAAGAAAAACGAAAAAGACCTTACGCAATAGAGCGAATAAAAGTATTTACAGAAATAACATAAAACTAGAACACTGATAAATATAAAAATCGCAAGGAGCTAAGATAACCCAGAGAAAATAGCCTTCAGAATGTTTCTTGACAATTAACAAAAGAATTCGTTGCTCCATGGAGCCGTGGTATATTTTCGTTCTGATTTTTTTTTTCTCAAATCCAAATTCTTTTTTCTCCTCTTCCGTTCGCAAGAATAATCTCGCTCAAGTCCCCGTCAATGGGCATCGCTTTAATCTGGTAGCGGGAAGAGATAGAGTAGAGCCAGGGTGGATAAGAATGCGGCAAAAAGCATCGCGGAGAGGACGCGTTCCTGAATGGTACGGGGTGAACCTGCGGTTGGTTCTTCGTGGCCCTCTTCTTCGCGAAGAAGAAGAAGAGCGGAAATAAGACGCGCCAGAGCCTCCAGCCCATACGCGTCCATGTAACCCACGTCCATGATTGCATCCGCGTCCATTAACACCTCCTGCAACCAACAACGATACTACTCAGTCCCAATTCTATTCTTTAATTTATCTTTTTATTCAATTATTTTCTTACTACCCTTGCGACCTAATACTATCCTCCGCTAACGAGGTTTCCCTAAAAAGCGTTCCTCCGGGGGGGAGGGAGAGGGGGTCAACCCTGATGGTACTCGTGAAGCACCCTAGTAGATAAAAGCAAATAATTTCTCTGAACCACCTTGAAGAATCACGTGAAAATCAAAATGGCAGTTCTTTAATCAATATCCAGCATCACCTACCAATGAAAATTAATGAGTTAAGGATACCACTTGTCAATTGGTCCTTTGTGAGTTTTGTGACTTTTTTTTACTTCTAAAGAAAGTCATCCTTTGGAAATCACTCGTTATCCAGGAAATGATCATCTGAATTTTCTTCAGGGTGCTCCTCGAGGAAGCCATCAGACACAGAAGCAAATTTGATCTAGCGCATGCAACTAAAGCATCTTGTTCTCTTGTATATTGATCCGCCCATTAATCTTCGACATTCCTGCAGGCAGTATAATATTGTATGAAAAGTTATTATTGACACCATTTGCAATGACTTTCACGCGATTCTATCCACGATTAGGGACTGACTAGTAGTTGTTGGAAGAATTGATAACTATTGTTTTCTAGCGCACGACGGTAGTTGATTGTTTATGATTGTTCATTATATTCAATAAAAGATCTTCACGGATCATCCACCGAATCTATTGATCTATCCCTGAAAAAAGGATAATCAATGAGTTTGATTTTCTTTCTTAATCATCCCAAGAGAATGATGATTAATGGAAAGTCTTCAGACACTTTTTTGCTTCCTCCCACTCTATTTCTCGCATTTTCTTTTCCCCTGAGAAACGTGACTGACTTACCTCGATGATCAGTCATTCGTGATACCATTATCAGTATATCTCGAGCGTATTACGAGTGCAGTCCTAGTTCTCTATATAAAACATACTTAGCAAAACGAATAGCTGATAATGACTAACTAAACTACATCAACACATCTACTCACCGGGTTGTCATTGATTGAAACTAGAAAAACTATTTCTCGTATCACACATACTAGTGTTCATGCACTGTTCTATTATATAGAGTGTGTCACGTTATTATCAGAAATATTAATAAAATGATTATGAAACGCAATGAATCATTTTATTTCAACAACTGCTGACAGCTAAGTATATCTGAATGACGTGACACACACGGTATATTAAATATTGATAGAGCTACCTATCTAGGAATGCAAATTGCAATTGCAGATATTAGATTAAGAATTACGTGTAAGATAAATGCAGTCTTTCTCACCTCGTCGACGCCGATCTTTCTGCAAGCCTCCAGGAAGTTGTCCACGTTACGCCGACATCTTGCCATGGTAAGCTTAGGCTGGAAGACAATAATTAAATTATTAATTGTTATTTAAAATTATTACGTTAATTCTTTTATATGAAAACTTACAACTGCTGGCGAAGGAACATGAATACTCGCGACCGAACGGGGCCTTACGTGATTAGCCAGATGACATAGTACCACACCGTCGGTTAGAGCTGGTGCTAAATCCTCAGGAAGTGCCATCTTAAGCCTGGTTTCTATGTGCTACAAAAAGGACGACGTTCATCAATTATTATCTCTAGAAGGTACCGGTGATTGACTCGAGGACACTTACGCTCCTGAGTTGTTCGATCAGATCAGCCTCCTCTTTGGCACGTTCGAACTCCCTTCTCATAGTGAAGGAGTATTTCTCAGGCATGTTGCTGTTCCAGGTGACAGATCTCGTCGATTTGGGACTGCTGCCATTTCTGTTTGGACTCTTGTTACCTGTTAGATGTAGAAAAGAATTAGATAAGGATACTTAAGAGATATATAGTCGCTAAAGTATCTTACCTTCTACGTAGCCGACAGCTGTTTTCACCAGTCTGGGTGTATGACTGGGACTCGAATTATTCGATAAAATACTAGTGGAAGTTTTAATTGGAGAATTTGGCTTCTTGTACGGCTGTTCCAGGAACTTTCCATTCTTGCTGTTATACTCGTTGTTACTGCCATTTATGATAGGTATGTTCTGATAATTGATACGCGACGGCGTAACTTTTTGCACGGGCCTTTTGGTCGCGTTCTCTTCGTTGAAGATCTGTTTTCCGGTAAGGCCCAAATCCTTGCTGCTAGTCGAATCAGTCTCGTTACTGTGCGTTTCATTTCCTGGTGGCGTCACCTGTTCCCTGGGTCTATAGACGCTGGGACCCTCGTTGACTCTTTGCTGTCTGAGAGCCTCCTTGTATTCCCTGATAGAAGATAAGACAAAATTCGTCTCTGCGCACTTCCGGCTAACTACCAGGATGTCGAGTGTCGACCGAGAGATTATTCGCAGGTGATATCGACACTCAAGTTCCATTAATCAGACTCCACTTTATCATCGAGCATCAAGGCGAGAGCACTTTATTAAACAAGCCAGCGATTAATGTCTCGATAAGAACAAATCGACGAAGCTCTGCGTATAATGATAAATAAAAAGGCACAATTCACAGCATGCAAGACAATGAAAAGCGTAAAAGAAAATATGTTAAAGTTCAGCAACGAAGAGACATCCTCATCACGAAATCCCTTTTTACTTACCTGTAAGTTTGAATGTGATTCAGCGGCCTCTTCTCGTCGCCGTTAATCTGACTCGTGGAGGTGCTCGTTGTGGTTTGCAGAGGCTGAACTGGTTGGGTCGACGCGATGGGTGGCTGTGCAATTTGACCTAGTGGGCTGCTCTCCAGGTGGCTACAAGAAAAGTCACAAAAAACGTAACGCACATGCATGCATGCAGGGACAACGGCATCGTTGCGAATAAGTGTTCCAAACGAGGAAAAAAAAAAAGGAGAACCGAATGGAAGAGAAAAACTTGATAAAACATTGTTGGACCGGGTCGACGACATCGGGTCGACCTACCCTAAACTTACCCAGGCGGTGTAATGGAGGTGTGATGAAGATTCGTAGTCGTCAGTCTTCTTGTGTCAGCCCCATTTTCTGAAGTACTTCGCTCGAGTCTCCTCTTCTCAAGCTGATCGTGCAGTATCATTGCCTGAAATAACAAATGACTGTTAATCGTACATAAGAATGCAAGAAGACGGCGCTCCAGTTGTTTGAATTGAAATTCCGCGAGTGCGTTCGACGAATGCCAATTGCCGGCTCTCTGGATTCGCTGATTCCCAGATCAATGGGTCAAGGTCACGTCGGAGGGATTTTGAACAGCAGCCAATGAATGACCACTGCCACTACTAGCAGGCGCACCAATATCATTATCAAGACTCGCATACGCTTAGTCAGTGCCAAAGTTAGAAGACGCCGGGTAGTCGATCCCCGTCGCAAATACTTGGACGTCCGCTTTACATGGCTGACATGAATTTTCTGAATGACGTAACCATCAGGATTTATCTATCTTGAATACTTGGCATTGTTACTAGAATAATAATGATCCTTTGATTTCATCAAGAAGTTAACCTACCTTGCCCAGCTCGTCTTCGAGGGACGTGTGTTCACCAGGTGATATTGTACTGGGCGTCGACGTTCCACTGCAGGAGCCATTAACTCCAGCCTCGTGGGGCATAGTTATCGATAAGGGCGAACTTTCCTGTCTCCATATGCCTCGAACGTCACCGTCGTGCACCTAGAGAATCATCAGGTACATGGTAGTACCAGAGAAAATCAGTGAACCCATGTAATCCGAGCTTTATTCAAGTTGTCTTTGTACAATATGAATGGTTGATATACTACCAGCAAGGAATGGGCTAGGTCATAGGTCGTCTTTGGAATAAATGAGGATATTAAAAAGATATAAATAAAGAGAGGATAGTCCATTTCCAGAAGGGGAATAGAAAAATATATAATAAATGCACACAGCTACGACGTTCAGGATAAAAAGTCTCGGGTCAAAGTTCAGGATCCTGTGACGTGCCGCCACGGATTAATGGATAAAGAATGGATAACAGACCTAGTCTGTATCCAATGGCGAGGAATAGAACGACTAGAAATAGGATGAGACTAACCGCGCTGTGTATCTCTTGGGACCAACGTTTGTCGACCCCGTCGCTGGTGCTGTAACCGCTGTCGACATTGTGACGTCTGTGCGACCTCGTGTCCAGGGTGGCGTGACCTCTGGCATCCAAAAGACCTCTTCTTGTTCTACCACCCCTGGCCCTCTCATGTTTCGCGGCCTGCCTCTCCAAGTACTTGAAGATGTGTGTTCGCCCGCGAATGCACAGCTAGGTGGGAATAAATTCGGGAGAGTTTTAATTGGGGTGGGATCCTGAGGATTCCGAATAAATCTTTTCGTCTTGTATTTCTATTTACCGAGGCAGGCGGTGACGTGAGGGGATTGTCCGAGAGTCTCAGGTCGACGAGAGTCTTCATCTTCCTGAGTTCATTGGGTAGCACGGATATCCTGTTTCCACTTATGTCCAGCTTCACGAGCCTCAGGTACGTCAATTCTGAATGAAATTCAAGAATTAAAGTAAAATGACTTACCAAAATTCTATAAAAAAAAAAAAAAAAAAAATTTAAATCAAATGGTACCAACCTATTGGCAACTGCACCAGAAGATTGCTTCTAAGATCCAAGGACCTAAGCCTTGGCAGATCACCTATTCGTGGAGGCAGGGTCGAGATCTCGTTACAGCCAGCATCCAATTCAGCAAGTGCTGACATCCTACCAAGTTCCTCAGGTAAGGACACCAAACGATTGTGCGCGACCAGAAGAGTCTGCAGTGGTAACCTGCACACCTCCCTCGGCAAGGCTGTCAACTGGTTTCGGCTGTAAGGATGAAAGTTTCCGGTTATCATCGATCCTTTGGCGCAAGCTGTCAACGAGTGCTCCAGGTGATCGATACTTCGTCGTGGAGTTTTGAACCAGCTAGCAACACCCTTCCTCCCGGGCTAACGGACATTGACGAATGGGCGGATGTACCTGAGATCGAGGTAGTTCAGCGATTGGAGCATCACCACGGTTTCCGGTATGACTCTTATGGCATTGTGATAGAGATGAAGCTTCTCGAGGAATGGAAACTCGGTGACCTCCTCGGGCAATTCCGTGAACCGGTTCTTCGACAGGTCTGCAAGAAAGCAAATCAAAAAAGGGTACAGGTTGCGATGCTCCGTTCCTTATCTTTTTATTTGTATATTTGATCCCCTTTCTTAGAATTAATGTCAGGACAGGTGTCTCGTCAAGGACAGAGGAGAAGACTGGTACCGGACGATCGGCGTGGGTTAAGATTCCTTAATAAACCAGTAAACGGGACGCTTGACAAGCCGGCGATGTGTATCCCATAGCAACAGCTGTAGGTATAAGGGTGGTATATTCCTTCCTCTTCTCGAAGAGGGTTGTGTTGTGAATGGGGCGCGTTAGCCACGTGCGTGCAGTCAGGACACAAGGGAGGCTCAGCTGCTCCCAGCTAGGAACTTTCCTGATCAATACCGGAGTCCCTTCGCGTTACGGACGTTGCCGTAGCGGCAATCGCAAAAAAAAGCAACCCCTGCAGCCGTGGGGGAATAACAACCCCGCGAGATTTACGCTTTGCCCGGAAATTTCATGAATTTCCCGTTATTTTACCCGATACCCGACCACGTCACTGGTCTCTCCTCCAGCCCTTCCCATAACGGAAATTACCAATCGTCCAGCCTGAGGGGTAGGAACATCCCCTCAGGTGATGCTGGTTCGTTTGCTTCTTGATTCTAGACAATTTGCAAACCCCATAGCCAGGACAGTTTGCCTTCCGAAATTTCATATGAAATTATCAGTGATGGAATTAAATTATGCACCGGGGACGGGGAGGGGTAGGTATTGTACTGTGCAGACTTTAATGTCGTAGGGGGTGAAATTGGCAAAAGGAATGGGACTGTCGATCGAATAGAAATTGGTGTGCAAGGGCGTCGGCTCGTAGTCTGGCCAAGATAGGGATGAAATCCCCTGCACGGGAGCAAGTCCCATGTCGCAGCAACCCCCACAGAATACGAAGAATGTTGAACTCGTTTGCCAAGTAGTGAAATGTAAAAACGAGGCACGAGTCGATCCAAGAATGGCGACAGTGACGTTTTCTTGGCATTCATCTTATGCTGACCTTCAATTTCTTCAGTAAAATTTCTTCGACGGATATAAAATAGAAGCAAGATTAGCAAATAAGTCCAATGCAGTAAACAGCCTGGGAATACTTGATTGAATATAAAAGGCCTTTTATATTTTTAGCAACCGATGCTCTTGACTGATAAGTATGTCTGATAAGAATCACCCATTCTCATTCTACGTTGTACATTTACACATATATATATATATATATGGAACTAGAATTTATTACGAGAACTAGGGGGTGCTAGCTGGCCTAGGAATTAGGGGTCGCTCACCAAGGACCAAGGTCGAGGTCCTGCAGGAAGGATCGATAAAACAAGATACGATTTCCGTGTGTTGTAAATTGTTCCGTGGTCCTATCCTATACAGGGTGTGGCATCCATTATCAGACGCCATATATCCTATGAAAATGTTCAAAGAAAAAAAAAAAAATTTTTAAATATAAATCAACGTCAAAGCAAAATACCAAAAAGAATAAAAAGAAACGCTTGTATTCCCTGTTCGAATTCACGAAACATTTTCGCAGCAAAGAATTCCGTGAATGGTGATTAATTGTCAATTTAATTACCAGAAATTTAATTAATCGAGCCAAAAACCATTATGGAAATAAGCCATACAGCTCCTGACGCTATTCAATTTATTTAAATACCGCAACTGAATTCTCCGACAAGGCATGATATTCCAAAAGCAGTTTTTTTCAAACATAAACAAGTAACCAAACATAACAACACAGCCATAGAACATAACCATCTTGGGAAAGACTTTTATAGGTTAGCTCATTCAATAACGTGTCTGTTAAGGCCTGTTCGCACGTAAGGGCATTTCGTTCGCGACTATGGGTGTGTCTTCACGCGACGACAGGACGTACGAAGGGCGTCATTGTTTAAATCAGAGCGCTTCGACGGAATACAAGTCAATTATTATGACAATTGTCATGACGCATAGAACAGAAGACTAGAACTAAATATGACGTTTCGAAGAACGTGAAATTCAAACGAGATGGCAGCACGTGTGCATTGTGCCTTCTCTATGCATAAAGGCAGTCTATTCAATAATGACTATAATTCCAGACGGACATCTAGAGAAGACAAGAGTTTCACAAGAGCGAGTATAGGCGCTGTGTTATCACGTACTCTGGGAGGCATGGTTAATATGGGACCGAGAAATTCACACACGTATAATATAGTTGTCAGGGACAACGTGAGGGTGGTGGATCGATAGGAACCCTATTGCACAAATTTCAAAGGGGGCCCCCGACACGTATGCCAGGTGCCCCTGTGCACTTTGCACGCGATGCCATCCCCTATGGAGACTTTCAACCCTCTTTGGTGCACTGTAGGAAGGCATGAATGCTCGACGGTTTTTTTTGTGTGTAAGGGTACAATAAAAGCAGTATTAAAAAAATAGTATTGCAAGACCTAGCTGCATTTATGGTATTTTATTAAAATTTTCATTCGCTTATGCAGGTCGCATGAAAATTCGCTCACTTGTAAATGTCCCTTGCAACTCCCAGTCTCTCTAGGTTATAATCACGTTCACGAACTTTCCCACAGACGATTTGCAAGGAGTCCGCATTTTAAACGAAGTCCATTAAAGATCAGCCTTGAACCTCGCGATATTCGTTGGCCAATGGCAGTTTGTATGGCACGGTGTTACTTTGGAAGACATCGAAGCCGCTTTTGTCTGTCGATCAGAGAACAGCGGCCACTTCCTGTGCGGACGTGGTACCGTACGAGACTGGCATGACTAAAGCCGCATCTCCAAATGAAAAAAAAAGAATGAAAAATAATCGAATATTCTGCGTCCACGTGTAACGATTCAGGGGCCAAGACTCCCGAGTACATTCCCTTTAATGGTAAGTATTCCGTTCTTACCAGTAGCGCCGATAAGCTGGTCACATGCATTAAGAATGATAAGGCAGTTGGCAATAAGAGGAAAAGACATGCCTGAGTGCGAAAGTGAAAAAAAAAAAGAAACCAGAAAAGTTTGACAAAGTAGATAAAGACGTGATGAATTCCGGGTTATTTTCCAGCCTGAGAAAAGTGGAACAGCGATAGGTCACGTCCTAAAAAAAAAAAGTTCCAGTATCTCAGAGACGCAAAGCCACCAGAGTTGCACGGAGCTAGAAGTTGCATAGAGAGGCTGTATGCATTTTTTTGTTCATCAAGATGAATAAAAATGCAGGATCCATCACCACGGCAATTAAGGCCGGATGTAATCTGCAGGCTAAACAGTGGCGATCCTTGTGCGACGCCAGGCGTCGATGGTCCTACGTGACGTGGGCGCGGCGTCGAGAATGTGGGAAACGTTTGACAGTAGAACAAAGGCCTGATTTCTAACCAGCGACCGACTGCATCCCGCCCTGCCTGTTTATTACCAGACTGCTACGGTTCTCGGCCATTATTATTTTTCATCTCTCTCCGCCGCACTTTCATTCCGTTCCATTTCGCAATTTTAGCCCGTGCAGCGACAAGAGTGAAAATGTCGCCGGAAAAAACAAAGAAAAGGTATAGGGATACACACGGCCAGCGACCGTACGGCGTAAACTAGGCGCTTTAAAGAAAGCGTACACAGTCAGCGAGCTGTCGAGCGTCGAGCGAAGACGATGAAATATTTATTTTGTCCTTTTTCTCTCTTGCACAATTTTTCTTTTTCATCTACCTACCACTCTGACCCAACCCAAGTGCGTTTCCTCTCGTGCACGACGCGACGATGACACTTTGACCCTGCGTCACTCAAATAAAGAGGGATTCACCAACCTTGTTCCTTTATCCATTTGTAGTACAGGGCTAAGGTAAGGTTAGTACATAGTGCGCATACAAAGTATACTGAAAACTAATGGGAATTTAACACAGACGTTATCGCGCCCGTTGACGATCATCCTGGAAGTTGGTGAGGTTGCGAGTATCGTGGGCGGTGAACCAGGCTTAACTGAACTTGAGTTTCTTCACGGTGCGTCAACGTTTAAGGGCGCTTTGTTCACGAGCAGCACTGCGTAACCGCGACGGAGAACCCGTACGTAAGCACCGACCAACAGAAGGCTGACGGGTTACGGTGAGCGAAGCGAATGGCGTCAAGAAGGAAACAAAAAATAAAGGATAATTCATGAAAACCAGCAATGCACTCAATCGGGTATAAAGCAGAGAGCTTTATGGTCGCTGTAAACGAAAATTTGTGAGCTGTTAAATTTTACAGATTCGACAATAACACGGATATATATGTCTTCGCCTAAATTTCACAAGTACTTTTCACGAGGTCTACATGCTAATTGATCTGCTAAACGAAGGAACCGGGATGGCTTTAATTAACCTTAATCACGTAGCGACCTACTAATTATCTATACACTACACACAGACAGCCTTCCTCATCGTCTCGTGAAAACTCATAGTGAAACAGCCAGTAGCGTCATGTGGTTGCTACTGAATATATACATATATTAGCTACCTGCATATATCTCATTACAGTATCTAGTCTGTGTACTTGGGCCGAGGGCTGCAAAAACTTGCTTTGATCGTTGAAACGTCACGTTAGCGTTAGTCGATTCAGCAACTTCTTGCCTACGTCAATCGGAAGGTGAAGCCGAGCCATTAGTAATCGCAGGAACGGAAGAGATCAACCGGAAGCTGTGATAAGTCGATGCGGTTACAAAAGCCAAGCGCCGATAGGAAAAAGTTCTTGGAACTCGGTATACGCGGTAAAATACAAATGACGATAAAGCAGAAGAATAGGAATCCCCCCATTTCATTGTTGAATATACAAGGACTTTTTCGAGCGTACAAAATTGCGATACGTGTAATCCAGGAACTGACAGCAAAAAACAAAATGGCGGATCGATATATCGTTCAGTAGTTGAAACCAGAGAGATATTAACGTAACGCACGTGGACCGGAAGCCCCGGGGGCAGGAGTATTTGAAGTGTGAACAGGAAAAAGGGAGTAATGAAGGGCGAGAGAGAAAGAGAAAAGGGCAGTATCCCCGAGCAAAAATACA